ATAAAATGCAGAAATGGATCAGACCACAGCCAGCTAACCCCTCTATCAATTAAATCCCCTGTAGTTGGCCAGCCAGGTGTAGTCTCCTGAGTTCTATACACATGTAAAAGAAGAAATTTCAGCCTGATGGTAATGTTATTATTGATCAGTTCATTGACAGGACCATCATAAGTTCTTAGATCTTCTATGACAGGAGTGATTCATGTGCCATATTCCAATGACTAGACCATGCTGTCCCCAAACTAAAGAGATTCCCTGCAACTGCCAAGAAGCTAGGACTCTGATGTCACTCAAAGAGGACAATGGACACAAATGCAGGGTTATTTTAGCTCCTGAGCAGAAATATTCTTGTTCTATACTGAAGGGTAGATATTATATGACTACAATTCCAGAGGTGGAATTCTAGAGGTGATAAGGAAGCTGGAATTTACTATAAAAACATTGCCATATGTACAGATAGTGATTGCTATAAGGAGCACGAGTATGCAGTTAGTAAGAGTTCTGAAGACCCTGATAGAAAATGGAGGTAGCTAGGTAAGATCTTAAGTTTACTCTTCACTATCATATCACATATAGGGTTCATGGAATAGTCAAAACCTCTTTATATGTGAAGAATAAGAGAGAATTTTGTTAGATTACAGAAACATTCAAATAACATGGCTGCTGAAGAGAAAAGACCGTAATTTCAGTCATATTGGGATACTTAACTTGAAATAATGTGATAAATACATGCAGTTTCATGCCTTGCTCATTTAGGAAGAACTAATGATATGACAAGAAATTGCGTATGTTGGAAGCTCCTTCCGCAAGACCTGTGCCACTTAAAATATATGGAAAAGCAAAGCAAATTAGCTGTAAACATATGGAAAAGGATCATACTTCATTAATTATCAGAGAAAAAGTACAAAATTAAGATAAGGAGATAATATTTTACATCTATTAAAATTTGTAATAATAAAAGTTTGAGAGGTAACATCCACTACTCTCTTTGGGCAAGGGATATTTAAAAAATGGACATTTCTGGGACATTCATTGGTATGAGTATAAATATTATCTTTCTGTAAACCAATTTAGTAAAATGTATAAAAAATTTGAAAATAGCTATACTCTGAATTGGTAACTCCGTTCCCATAATTTATCTTAAACAAATGATCAGCAATACAGTTATGAATAAAAATGATATTCATAAACTTTTACAATAGCAAAAATTTAAAATAATTTGAATAGCAAATATTTGGAGGGAAAGTATGGTATAGCTATAATTAGACTTTGATGAAAACAATGAAACTGAAGATCATGCTTTCAAAGAATACTTATTGTCCTGAAGAAACAGTTACTCGAAAATGTGAAAAATCAGAATATACATTTTACAATATCGATTTTGTTTTTAAGATTCTATATATCCACATAAAAGGACTAGAAATGAATACACAAATCTTTTGTTGTTTGGGGGCATGGGACAATGGGCACTTTCTATTTTAGCATTCTTCTGCATCTTTACATTTTCCATAATGGATATTATCAAATAGTGAAGTCAATCATTTTAAAAAAGGAAAACAAACTGAGAAAGTTCCAGTTATTGGAAACACACTGATTTTGGTGAGGCAAATTTTAGGCTACAGTATTACAAAAAGTCATTTTTTTTAAAAAAGTGAACTCTATGCACCATAGAAACAGGATTATTAATGTCTACATCCCACAATCATATTTGTATCAGTTTATGATAGTCTATAAACTATTTTAAGATTATATATTCACTATGTAACATGTTGTATATTTTTCAGATTACTATTTTGTTTCCACTCCTTTCATGCCATATCATTCTTCAAGTACCAAAGTCCATAGCTAGTCTTTTTCTCTCTGCTCTAATGTTTAAGAATTAATTCCAGAGTTTATAGTTGTTAGTGGGAATAAGAAAAAATGTGTATGCTCTATTTATCTAGAATGAGAAGTCTCATCTCTAAAATACTGCTTCATATATTTTAATGCTATGTTATTAGGTACACATAGACTTAGAACTGATGTATATTCCTGGTCAATCTAATCTTTTATTTAGCAGGGTCCCCCTTTATAATCTAGTAGTCACTTTTGCCTTACATGTTTTATTATAATATAGATATACCAACTTTCTTACAGCGAATATTTGCCATTATATCCTCTGTCAACCTTTTAATGTCTTTTGAATATGACTTTTGGAAATAGTATAGAGCTAGATTTTTAAAAATTTGAACTGACAATTTTTGCTTTTTAATCTTTTTGTCATTACTTATATACATATTTGCATTTATTTCTCATCTTTTAAAAATGCTTTGTATTTATCTTTTCCTCCTTTCTTGCCTTGAGATTGAATTCATTTTCTATTTATCTTCTTCAGAGGTGTATTCTCTATTGTCGGTTTTGTGGTTACCCTATTTTGATATGCATTCTTAACACAGCCATAAGTTAATCATTTATTTTTACCTTGAACTTTAAGAATACAAGGACCTTAGAAAATTTTAATTCTGATTATCTTCTTATAATTTATATCTATTGTTCCTTATTTTAATTCTAGCTGATTTCCCAAAAGATTCACCATTAATGTTTTTATAAGTCTGAATTTTTTTAGAATTAGCAAATTATATGGAAAGTATTTTCATAGATTTAAACACATTGACTTCTCAAACTACATTTGAGAATGTAGTTTCACTCTTGTCACTCAGGCTGGTGTGGAATGGTGTGATCTCGGCTCACTGCAACCTCCACCTCTCGAGTTCAAGTGATTTTCATGCCTCAGTCTCCCTAGTAGCTGGGATTACAGGTGCCCACCACTATGCCCAGCTAATTTGTGTATTTTTAGTAGAGACAGGGTTTTACCGTATTAGCCTGGCTGGTCTCGAGCTCCTGACCTCAGGCAATCCGCCTGCCTTAGCCTCCCAGAGTGCTGAGATTACAGGTGTGAGCCATTGCACCTGGCCTTCAGACTCTTTTAAGTAGGCACATGGTACATCACTTTAAAAGACCCTGCAATAGACCACAGTGAAAAGAAAAATTATAGTTCTCCCTATAGTAGATTTCCAAGAACAAAAACAAAAAGCATTCTCATGAAAGTAACAATAATGTATATACACATGAAAAACAAGCTTCTATTTATTTCATTTAAAAAACCTCATGAACTCATGTAAAATAATTCATTGGCTCATAAAAGGAGTGAATATAAAATATTAATCATAAAATAAACCATCCTACCCAGTATGTGTATGTAGGTTTTTGGAGTCTTGCTCTGTCGCCTAGGTTGGAGTGCAGGGGCGCGACCTCGGCTCACTGCAACCTCTGCCTCCCGGGTCCCAGTGATTCTCCTGCCTCAGCCTCCTGGGTAGCTGGGATTACAGGTGCCCACCATGATGCCCGGCTAATTTTTGTGTATTTAGTAGACAGAGTTTCACCATGTTGGTCAAGCCTGGTCTTGAACTCCTGACCTCAAGCAATCCACCTGCCTCAGCCTCCCAAAGTGCTGAGATTACAGATGTGAGCCACCGCACCCAGCCTGTATATACTTTTAAATAATTTAAATTTACAGACTAACAGTATTAAACACCCATCATAAGAAGTTGTTGCAAACAAACATTCTGGGTATAGATATTATTTTTTTTATGGTACAAAGATAGAGTTCACTTTTAAGAAAGAAACAGAACTTTCCTCTATACTACCACCTCAAATCTTGCCTCACCACAATCACTAATAATGATCTGATGTACAGGAATTATACTGTTAAACACAATTATTTATTAAAGTGTGTTTTTAGATTTTACTACAATGATTCAAGTTCTCATCAGAGTAATGATTTAGGCAAAAGGAAAATAAAGTATGTACTTAATTAAGACTTTGCTCTATCAAGTTAATATATACAAAGGTGTTATTTAAAATTTGTGCCTTATGACAATTTCCCAATGTATTATGGTATGTTTGTAGTATACTGAAGTGTGCCTAAGAGGAAATTTTTAACTAAAACATGCTCAATTTCAACAATGAATTAACACATTTCTATTTTATTTTAATGACTAAAGGCATAAAACACAACTAGTAAAATTAACAAAAATATGATATAAAAAGTTAGAGAAGTATGAGAATAGTCATATAATTTTACTTATAAAATTGAAAAGAAAAATTCTTAGGATTATAGAATGATTGTGGATTTTGGGGGCTTTTTCCTTGATAGAAATATTAAAAGAACAGATATAAGTTAAGATTTTTATATTCTTTTAAACTGCAAACTAACTTTGATAAAAACAGATTAATCGTTAAATTCTAGAATAAAAAAGTTAAAGTTGATTTTAACGGTATCGTTAAAAACAGTAACAACTGAATTATTAAGACCTTGTTCAAAAACACACATCAGCTGTCTAATAAATTTTAAGACAATCTATCATTCTGGTTTGGAGAATACCACATGTATTTTTCTAAATGTCACAGAAAAAGCTAAGCAGAGTTTCTCCAAGGACTCTCACTTGGAGAGAGTGAATGTTTTAGAATGTTAACCGTGGAGATAGATGAAGTGGTTTCTGGGAAAGGAGAGCAGAAATATGCCACATTAAGAAGTTAAAGAGAATGGTCAGTATGATGTCTGATGAATGTTAAGAATGTAAATATAGAAAAGATACATTCTATAAAGAAATTATAACCAAAATAATTACGTACATTAGCAATTTAAAATATTTTTCTTTGAAAATAAACTATTTGATTATCTTGCCCTTTATCAAAATAATAACTAATTTCTCATAAAAGAGTACTAGTGTAGTTTTGCTTTATTATTTTTAAAGCTTTAAGCTAGCTGGCTACACAACATGTTATAAAGTTAGAGATAAATTATTTAAATCTTTATCAATATCACCCTAGTGCAGTGTTAGTAAAAAGACTTTTTTAATATTCTAACTTCTTATATTAATTGTAAGTGACAGAACTGCTGTGTAATCAATCTTGATAAATATAAAAGAATAGCCAACACAAAAACTGGGGAAGCAAAATCAGCATTTAAGCTTTAAAAATTTAACGTATTAAAGAGTTTTATATTAATAGGCTATTTCACAATTTACTCACATTGTTGAAAATCAAAATTTTATTTCTAAAAGAGGGACGATATAAAGCTAGGACATTAATGAGTATTCAGGTATCAGAAGAAAGTTGCCAAGGGCAGAACTAATTTAACAACAAGAGATTGGTCTTATGCATATTACCCAGCACCATTACTAACTGTTAAAACAACCAAAACTAAACAACTCAAATGCATGGCTTTTTATTTTTTGTTGCTTTTCACAGATGAGCCTTTGATGTGGAGTTTGTCCCCCAAAACATTTGATCTTCTTCCATATTCAATGGCTGGACTTTGGTGAGGCTTCTCCCTGAGAAATATACATGTGAATATTAGTATCATTTAAAAAATGGTCCGTGGTTTATAAATCAATAACAACATGTTAAAAACCACTGTAATATAAGTTTTATCTTAAAAGTTCCTTAATAGCTTTGAAAAACAAGGCAGACTATTTCAGTGAATTTAAGACAGCAACAGCTGTTTACTGGAGATAGATTTAACTGTTTACAGTTTAAACACTGTTTAATGTTACCAGTATGGCAGCCACTAGCCACATTTATATTTGAATTGATTAAAATCAAATAAAATAATTCAGTTCCTCAGTTGTACCAGCAGTGTTTCGATAGTTAATCAATAGCCATATGTGGCTAGTGATTACTACATTGGACTGAATAGATATATAGCATTTTTGTCATTACAGAAGTCATTTCAGAAAATGCCATTGGACAGTGTTGGTTAAGAGAAAATGCCACTGTTAGGGCCAGAAATTTATAGGTCATCCATAGAGAGCATGCCTTCTCTAAGTGGGACTTGGATTTCCTATTTAAACTTGGCACTGCTAGGTTTGTAATCAATATATTTTTCAAATGAGACAAATATCTATAATTCATATGGGAGCAAGTTTTCAATCAATTCAATAGAAAATATTAGGGGTCTAAATTCCTAAAGAAGTATTTTAAAAGAAAAGATCCTAACATATGAAATTCTGCTTAAGGCTTCTGATTTGCTTCACACCCACTTGTCCACAGCTGGTTCTGTGAAGAGTTCCACCTTCTACAGCAATTCTCCACTCTCTTATAGCTTAGAACAGATTTCTGTTTAAGGTCTGGTGAGGCCTTTCTCTTGAGTGTAATTTGATAGAAATTAGATAGTTTTCCATTTTCCCCCCAGGGAACCGCATTAAACTGTAGCTCTAAAGTATGTACAAAATGTATAAAAATCTCTGTAATCTTTATTTATTCATTTTTGAGATGGAGTCTGCCTCTGTCACCCAGGCTGTAGTACAGTGGCACAATTTTGGCTCACCACAACCTCTGCCTCCCAAGTTCAAGGGATTCTCCTGCCTGAGCCTCTCAAGTAGCTGGGATTACAGGTGTGTGTTACCATATCTGGCTAATTTTTGTATTTTTAGTAGAGATGGGGTTTCACCATGTTGGCCAGGCTGGTTTTGAACTCCTCACCTCAAGTGATCCACCTGCCTCAGCCTTCCAAAGTGCTGGGATTATAAGCATGAGCCACCACGCCCAGCCAGAAATCTCTAAAATCTTTAATATGTGGTTTTAGCAAATTTATTTTTCATAGTTATTTTCAAAGGAAATTCTAAAAGAAGCTAATGTTTTTTCCAAAATTCTTTGAAAATATCTAATACACATCAAATATGGCATTGCATGTACTGTTACATATTATACACGTGTCTGAAATTTCATTTACTATTAAATGCTAAATTTTGATTTGTTAAGAAAGTTGTTAAGTCTTCCAAATACACCCCCTCTTCCCTTATCATATCTCTAGGTATCTTTACCAGTGTGAAATATATGACTCTATCTATATCCAGATGAGAATCTGTTTTACAAGAATAACTACACTATAGTAAATTAGTTTTCCTTAAAAGGGTTTTGGTCTCTATCTTCTGAGGCATAGCTTACTAGTGAATTACTAACCATACAATCCTAAACTACTATTGATTTTTAGATATAAATTTAAATTTGTGTGGAATACTCACAATTTAACGTATTACATCTTTTTTAAAGTATTACATCTTTCACAAAGGATACTGTGGATACAACTTGTATGGTCATCAAAACTTTCTGATAACAGAAGTAAAATTACATAACTTCTTAAAAAAACAAATGATTTTATAAACAACTTTACCTTCTTTTAAGTTCTCGGGATCCAGGATTCTCATGGCGAACACTTCTCATTCTAGTGTCGTCTAGATTGCGTCCTGGTTTGTACTTCAAAACCTCACTTTGCCACTCATCATCAAAAGCACAAGCATCACCTACATTAGATATCAAGATAATGGGAATAAGTATTAAGGTATCAACTGTTGGTTACTGCCTTGCTTCCATATATTTTAGTCTAGGTTGGTGTTTTCATTAGTGTAACCTCAATATAAAGGCAGGGAGCTGCTTCAAATATAAGGGTCTTTGACTAGAGTAATATTTGACTTGAGTAATACTGTCTATTCCTCTCCTATTCCTACTAGATCTACTTTTTTCACCTGCTTGGGTATCATATTATTCTACCCAAAGGACCAGCTGACCCAATTATGACTCATAGTTTTTCTTCCTGGGTCATCTCATAGTGAATATGCTGTTCCTGTATACATGTATACTTCTGTGGCTAGCACTATCTTTCTATGTAACTTGACCTCACAAGTTTCTGTTGTCAATTTCCTAAGACAGGTTACTCAGCTAGAATGTCAATTCATGTTGTTATGAAGTAAGTAATCTAACTTCCACAATAGCAACAATAGGCAGATGATAGTACTTCTTTCAGACTGCTTTAAAATACTGTGTGCCTTCACTATATATTTCATCAAAATGTTGATTATTATGAAATACTCAGTATATATTTAAATGTGATAAAATTACAGAGGTTATAATTAAACACAGGTCACATTATCATGGCTTCTATCTTACTGCATAAGAATAATTTTATCAAACTCCAACGTTAATATAATTTCTTTTCTTCCTCCCTTCCCCCCAAGATGGAGTCTTACTCTGTTGCCCAGGCTGGGGGTGCAATGGGGCGACTGGGCATGCAATGGGGCGACTGGGCTTGCTGCAACCTCCACTTCTTGGGTTCAAGAGATTCTCCTGCCTCAGCCTCCCAAGTAGCTGAGACTACAGGTGCATGCTACCATGCTGGGCTAAGTTTTGTATTTTTAGTGGAGACGGGTTTCACCATGTTGGCCAGGCTGGTCTCAAACTCCTGACCTTGTGATCCACCTGCCTCAGCCTCCCAGAGTGCTCAGATAGCAGGTGTGAGCCACCGCACCCAGCCAGAATTTCTTTTTTAGTACAACACTTTAAACACTTTATTATGGAAAAACATTATTCAAAATACTTTCTGAAAATAGGAGATGAATCCAACTAAATTTTAATATAATTTCATTATTAAATTAATACAATAAAATATGAAAGCTTAATATTGATTTAAAAATTAATAAAAATAATTTAAATTTATTGATTAAATTTGTAAATACATTGTAATATAATTAAAAACTACGGCCAGGCATGGTGGCTCACCTCTGTAATCCCAGCACTTTGGGAGGCCAAGGTGGGTAGATCACCTGAGGTCGGGAGTTCAAGACCAACCTGTCCATCATGGAGAAACCCTCATCTCTAGTAAAAAATACAAAATTAGCCAGGCATGGTGGTGGACGCCTATAACTCCAGCTACTCAGGAGGCTGAAACAGAATTGCTTGAACCCAGGAGGCGGAGGTTGCGGTGAGCCGAGATCATGCCATTGCACTCCAGCCTGGGCAACAAGAGCGAAACTCCATCTCAGAAACAAAACAAAACAAAAAAACTACAGGGAGAAGGATTAGGACACTAGAAGGACTTAAATGCATTGAAGAATAAATACAAAATCTAGTAAAAGAAAAGATTTACTTGAGAGAGACAGAGACATATATGCAATCTAACATATACCAGGAATTAAAATCCTATCTATACAAAAGCCTAAGTGCTCAACAGTACAGAATGATTTAAGTAAAAATTATGGCTTATTTATAATAAAACTTTTAGATAACCACTTAAAATGTTTTTGAAAAATGGCATCATAGGTGATTTTACAATTATAATGCTAAATTGAAATAAGTACAATATAAACTATATAAAAGTAAAATACTAACTTGAGAAAAAAGTGTGTGTGTATACATATATATATATATATATATAATGATTAGTAAGAAATACATTAAAACATTAATAGTATTTTGAGTTTGGACTATGGATGACTTTTTTCTTTATACTTTTTTTTAATAAAAAATACTTCCTGGCAACTTTCATTTTATGTCTTTATACTTTTCACTTTCATTTAATGTCTTTATACTGTCCAAATGTACTTTCTTGATAATCAGAAAAAAATATTTAAAGACTCATTTTGCCTACTGAGTAATAGTATTACTAATAACAATGCAAAAGATTCCACTTTTGAAGTATAAAATAAAAATAAATAATATACCATATTGCCAAAAATCACTATAAAAAAGAGCTCTCCTATAAAAGGATGGAACCACAATCCTATTACTTTCACAAGGTATTCACTATACATTATTCAAAAAGTACCTCTTATGACGTTTCTACAAAAAATGTTCATCAAGTACAGTTGTTATTTTAATCTTATGAGATAGAATTTTTTTGTGTGTGTGATAACTTACTTTCATTCATATTGATGAACTCCTGGTTGACCTCTTCATCTCCAGTCTTCTTGTTCTTTGACTTTCTAATTACATGAGCTCGGTCACGGATATGATGACCAATAGCCATTTTTTCTAGTCCACTGTCAGAATCTCTCATTGCTTTCCTGGTTTCCTTTATCTACAAAAATAAAGAAACAAAAGATATTTCATTATTATTTAAACATATATATATATATATGTATATAATTCTAAAATTCTCAGGGCCAGCTTACCTACTGAGGTATGGCCATAGATCTACTGCTCTAAAAATAATGTGTACTCTGTTCCACTATTAACTTGTGGTCAAATTGTGGTAGTAAGTCTCTGATATTTCCTGAACTCCTTGAAATGAAAATGTCTGCAACAAACAGAACCCATACAATTCAACCTTTTTCCAAATTAAAATCAAATATTAAAACAAAAGTAACAATTATAATTTAATGCCTTCCAGACTACCTTGGACAATGTAATAGAGAGAAGTTTATGATGGCATTCCTACAAATAAGGGCAACTAATTATTCATCAGTCATGTTGATTGGCTTGAATCTCATGATTCCCACCTATCAACTCTGTGGAAGTGTTATCAGAATATTTATGATAGCTATTAACATGATTTACTGTGGGACATATACAATTACATTCTGTTTATCTTTAAGACTATCACACTTTTAGAATTAAAATGTTTGAGATCAATTAGCAGAATTATGGCAAGAGCATCATTAAAAGGTTCATTTTTATATGGAAGAACTAAAAAATAAACTACTTCACACTCATTAGACTGGTAAACCTAAATTTCTACCATAAGTACTAACAAGGAAGTAGAGAAATGGAAACTCACAAACCACAGTTTGCAGAAGTCAACAGCTTCAATCACTGTGAGACAGTAGTTTGGAAATGCTAGGTTAAGATGAAGGTATACATACCCTACAACTCAGCAATACCATTCCTAGACTCTTTGTATAAGGGGCCATGTATAAAGATGAATCAGTAAAAGATTAGACTCACCTACATATCTAACAACAGAAAATGATTTAAAAATCATGGTACATTCATATTTTGGATATTACATAGAAGTTAAACAACAGCCACATGTATCAACTTGAATAAATCTCAGAAGCATATTACTCAGCAAAGACAAGTTGCAGAGGACACATGCAATATGATACCCTTTATGTAATGTTGGGAAACCTCGAAAATAATCCATTATATTTTTTATGATATAAACATAAATAATAAAGTTGTAAAAACATGCATGAAAATTATAAACTCCAAATATAGGAAAATGGTAATCTCTGAGGAGGAGAGAAAGGGAAAGTAGACCACAGAGGAATGTATTAGAAGCTTTAACTGCCTCTGTACATTTTTGCTTAAAAAAATAACAAAGCAAGAGACAACTTGAAGCAAAGAGAAAAATATTATGATATGACTAAACTGGGCGGCAGGAATATGGGCACTTACTATATTATTCTCTATATCCCTTTTGTACACTTAAAACATTTCGAGTTAAAAAGTTAATTCACTTCAAATGTAAACTTAAAAGTAGACATTATGTCATGAAACAAAGGCTTTAGTGTTTTACCTTGTCAACACGTAAAGGTAATAAACATCAACAGATATTTACATGAAAAAAGGCACTGTCACGGGGGTGAAAATTGCCACAAACTAAGTAAATAGGTTGAGCTTTAATGGTTTCCACAGTGAGGACAACCTTAACCCCAACTCCCACACCTTCCTCCTGTCCCCCAGCCACCGTGTACCAGATCAAATTTTAATAGTTAACTACACCTATGTCCCCAAACCTGTGATACTTCTAAAGACAGTCTATCATTCCACAACTTTATAAAGCTCTAGGAATGCTTATAGAAAACTTACTCCTCCTGGAGCTCGACGGGTTTGAGTTGTGGCCTGAAAAACCTTTGGCGGTTCATCTCCTACTTTGGAGTAAGTCATAACTGAGGAAGAACAAAATGAATGTCCATTTGGATCCACTGAAAGTTGACCCTACAGGTAAACAAATTGTAAATTCAGAGTTGGTCAAATATAAATAATTATAGCCAGAGAGTTCAAATAAGTAACAACAGTAGCTGTAAGTTCTACCTAAGGATACTAAACTACCAATATGGTGTAGCCAAAGGGCACATCCAGGTTCTCAATTGAGAAGTAACTTAAAAAAAAAAAAAAAAAAAAAAAAAAAAAAAAAAAAAGGCATCCCTAGAGTCCTAATGGTCATCCATCTTGGGTACCATCCCACTTGCCTTACAAAGACTGGTAAGTGACTCACTCAGAGATCCTTAAGTCTTTGGGTGCTTGTGGCTCAGATTTCAATAAAGATGCTATGCCCCCAAACTTGTGATACTTCTACAGTCAGTGGTTGACCCTTGTATGTAATCTTGCCAATCAAGCCAATTAGTTATACATCAAATTTCATACCACTTCCTGTAGGTACCAGATTGCTACGTTACTAAAACCAATAATGCCCTAGATTATTAGGGCATTCTGAAATGATCCATAGAATTCAAACTGGATGACTAGAATGATTTGGGTCTTCTTCAGATCACATCAAGTGACTGGTTTTAATGTTAAGTAGAAAAGAGAGTATTATTATAGTACTAGTTTGTAAGTATTTGAGCTATCAGGGTTTTATACCTAAACAACATTCATAAAATTTCTGTTTTCAGAGTTGTTTATAAAACCCTAAAACGTAACTCTTCAGATGTTACAAATCCTTTTAAGTAAACAGGCTATTAACAATAAAATTATGCAAATTCATATAAAATGTTAATTTACAATAGTGACTTTCAGTAGAATCAATGTATTTGAGGTTAACCTTTTTCCAATTTTTTTTTTAAATTTTGAAAGTCAACATTATTTTTCAAACTTGGAGGTTATGAACTCAATTTAGTAGGTTGTAACCAGGATTTTAAAAATATGAAATACACTAGAAAATAACTATATATACTGTAAAGAGCATAGTCCTTTTTTTCATGAAACTTTTGTTTCAAATACATTTATAAAGTATATAAATATTGCTTATTGGGTTAATCATGTAAAATATCTTTTTAACCACTATGGTTAAAAAATGTTTGAAAGCCACCATGATATATAATATACCAAAGTATACACAATGTTCTCAATGCTTTATTTTTAGTACTTACAAAGTTTCTTTCTAATTGCTGCACACGGTTTCTCATATTTGACAACATTTGGTCCATTGTCTGAAAAGGGCTGACATCTGTATGCTACAGAATATCAGGAAATTTGTTATTAACTGAGTACAACACAAAGGATGCAAATACATCTTCCAAGACAGCTAAAATATTTCTTTGGATTCATTTAGTAGAATCTCATGCAGTAATCAACCAGACAAAGATAACTTAAAGAGCATACAATAACAGTGATTAGTTAAGGAGAAAACTGAAGCATATACAAAATCCCAAAGAGCCAACATACAAATAATTAGGGAATTGTAACATTATAAATACATGTATGTACATGTGTATATATACACATATACATGTGCATGTATATATAAATACACATATATACCTGATCACTCATTACTCACTTTTTCAAAACAGAATTTGGTATATGTTAAACACTAAGTGATATATTTTCTAGCATAGGATAGTTTTCATATTTTTCCTTATCTCTCAATACTCCACCATGCAAATAAATAAAACCTGGGTATAAGATGCCAATGTCACCCCCAGCAGTACTTCATGGCTGAAAGAACCTGCCCCTCCAGTAAGTAGGCAGCCTTTCTCTCTTCATAGTAGGATCCAGGTGACAGAAGTCAATTCACTTTACTAATAGGCCTTCAATTTTCTGCCTACTGAAGGGTCAATAGGCTACACCATTGAAGCATCAGGTATGCTTCTTCAGAAAAACAGTTAAGAATTCCTCTAAACATCAGTTTCTCAACCAAGATTGATTTTGACTTTCAGGAGACATTTGGCAATAACTATACTCCTTTTTGGCTGTCACAGATGAGGACAGCATGTAACTAGCATTTAGTGGATGGAGGTCAGGGATACTGCTTAACATCCTACAACAGATAGGACAGTACCAGAACAAAGAATTACTCAGCCCAAAATGACAGTAGTGCTGAGGTTAAGACACTTTGTTCTAGGAAAATCTACCAGTGATTTTAGGTTTTATCACTGGAAGACTCAGCAGCAAATAAAAGTCAAGCACACATTCCAATGTGTTACCCAGTAAATCATCTGTTGTAAAATAGAAGGAGTTGCTTGGTTTAAGGAACTTCTCTGTTCAAGCAAGCAGAGCGCTGAATCTCTAAGGCCTGTTTGTGCCTATGCCTTCTATTGCTATTGGATTTTTACATATATTAACAATAGAATAGAAAATAGGTGGGAAAACCAAACTCCTCCTTGGAACCTGCACTTAATGTAGTTCGGAGCAACAAAGGCACATTTAGGAAGTATTAATATATATTAGAGTACAAAAAGGACTGAAGTAGAGTTTAACACTAGGCTGAGAATCCGTTCTTATTTCATGAGATATGGAAGGGTTAATCCAAAGGAGAAAAAGACAGAAAGGAAAAGATTAGACATTTGGGTATGTTTGCCCTCTTCTCAATTCATGGTCAAATCAACCGCCAAAAGATGTGTCTGCACTTGCTCTGGGGTGATCCAACACACTTGAGTGACAAAAAGTTGGGGTACAAAATGGAGTTGAAACTTCAGTGGGCCCTTAAGGCCTTCAAAAATTTTGTACACAGGGCCATTTTGTCGATTTTATTTACAATATTCCCAATACATATAAAACAATTTCTGGCATTTAAGAGGGTTTAATAAATATTTGTGGAATGAATGAAAAAATTATCTCTAGCTCAGCTCAAATCCATATATCCAATAGTCTACCAGATAAATCTACCTGTAAAACCCCAGATGCCTCAAATGCGAAACACCCAAAACTAAAATGATGGTTTTGACTACCCCACTCTTACATCTATACCGAATCAATGCCTTATCTCAGTGGCATTCCTATCTACCTCATTCTTCGTGCCAGAAAAATGGGTGTGGTACTCCCCTTCTCCCTCTCTATTGCTCTTTCAACCCTATCAATCACTAAGTTCTGGCCATTCATCCTTTTAACCCTCTCTCGAATGAAATAATTCATTTTTATCATCACTAATACTTTATCTAGAATGCTTCAACAGCCTTCTGACTTCACTGCCTCCACTGTAGTCTCTTCTAATCTTTCAAAAATCTGACTCTATTACCACTTTGACATTAGTCATCACTGCTTCCTCTGCTCTTAAGATAATGTTTACTTTCCTTACTATGGCCTAAAGAAGTCTCTGGTTACCTCTTCATCGTCATCAGTGTCTACTGTTCAACTTATACTCTGGGGCTAATTGATTCTAAACATCTTTAGTTACCTAGCCTCCAGGTCTTTGCACAGGTTGTTTTCTCTGTGTTGAACAGTATTGCTTTCCCCTCTCTCCTTTTCTGGCTAACTGCTACTAATCCTTAAGGTTCGGGAAGTATACTTGGATTGACCCACCCCACCTCAAAAGGTGCTTTTTTCCATCTGTGCTCCCTCCCATAGCATGCTGAACTTCCTGATCATTTTACTCATAACTGTGTTATAACTGCTTTTGTCATTTGTCTTACTAAATACTCTGGTCAGGAGGAACAAATGTTATACCTGTATGTCAAACTTCAAGGAAACAAAAAATTCAACTGGAGCACAAAAAAAAATTTTTAAAACCCTTTTCATGAGACTGTAGATACGAATGTTCCAAATTCATGTTATTTTCTGCTACTCCCTAGAAAGTGTTTAGTGTGCTGGAAGCTAGCATCACAGACACAGCACACAAACCCTAAGAAACAGGTGGTAGAAATGCTGGTTGCAGAGTAGCCATTCTTAAGTATAGACAAGAAAAAGCTGCATGGCAAGTTGGCAACAAAAACCTAGACAAAGCAGTCAATTTGTGTTTTTCCAAATGTTGTGCTTATCTATCTACAGTTTAGTACTTTTTTTTTAACCTTTTGGAAAGTCATCATAAGCATGTGGAAGTCCCCAACTTTCAAACACAACTGTAAGAATCCCCTTTGTAAATCACGCAAATATTCATCCATTAAAATCTACTTTTTTTGAAGATGAATTTTATATATGTTGAAATGACTTACTTCAGGAAACATGTGCCTAAACTTTCTAAGGTAAGTTTGATACATGAAACAGAGGTTTTCAGTACAAATATTAAAAAGCCATTATGAAAGTGAGATTGCATGCCAATTTAATCGGTCTGAGTTAATAAAAAATAATTGTCAGAAAATATTGCTAAAATGATTTGTGTCTGATATGAACCATACCACCAAAACTGCCAAAAGGCATAAGAGAACAATTTGTTGCCTGGAAAAACATCCAATTAATTTTGATTATGACATTTATTATATAGAAGTTTCTCAATTTACCAATTAAATGTTTACTGAGTTTCAAATATCTACATTTCAATTGCAGAAATTCATCTTTATAGAAACCCCTGAGGACTTGTTATCTTAGAACTATCATTCCTGAGGCTGAAAAAGCAACAGAAATAAAAGAGGCAAAAAAGAATGGTTACAATATATAAATATCCTGTTTTTTTTAAAAAATTTTTAGTTGAGTATGTTTGTAGCCTCTAGCTTTGCTCTAAGGCAAGACATATGAAAATATATTGCAGTTGCAAGGCTTTTGAGATACAGTTAAAGGTTAATCTAAAGTCCATAGGTAACCATATGGAAGATTGGTGTTTCCTGGTCCAATAAAGATAATCCTTTGCAGCTTTTGATATTATTTTCAAGTATTAAAACAATTCGTATGGGAGAGAAAGGAAAAGCCAACCCTGCTCACTCCATGTGAAAGACATTAATAATCATGATTCGTGAATGTGGAAACTTGTGTTTTGGCCTTTCCTTCTATCCATCTACAGATTTGCATTCAGAACAGGAAAATGGGACTGACAACTTTTCCTTTCAATTTCTCTCTTTTGCTAGACAGTAATGTGCTAAAAGCTTCCAGTCTTAAAGACAAGTATGTATGCCTGTGAAGGCACTAAATCAAGGCCCCCAAATGTGGAACATAGAGGATGAGAGATTCTTTCAGTTACTATACATATAAACTTTAGGTAGGTGCTTGTCTGTTCTAGTTTCAGATATGGGAGGACATTATAAGGTGAGAAATGTATACACAAATATAAAAAATAATGGTTTAAGTTTGCCTTGTAATATATAACCTATGGTCCTCAAAGTTTTGGTAGCACAGTGGAATTCTATATTGCTGACAAGTCACTATTCAAGGATTTAGCTTTCCAAAGGTCCCCCTTTTTATATAATAGTTATTTCTAAAACAAGAATATTAGTTATGTCATATCATTATATATACTTCTGTAGTACTTTTCTTCAAATTTCTACAGGTCTTTTTCACTAACTGTCTTTGAATAAAAAAAACTTACAGTCAAAGTATCTTCATCATCATTATGTCCTCTACGATTATGAGCTCTCCCTCTACCATCAGAGATACTGAGCAAATCTCTTCCAAAGGGTTCAGAAAAACTTCTCATCATCTGTCGCATATTTTCTCGGTGTGCAAGAATGGATTCACTGTTGAAAATATACATCATCAAGAAAGATTCAGTGTTGGAATTTAAATAAGCAGGCAGCTAAATGCCACAAAGAATTATTTTGGGATATGTTTGTTAAAGAGATAAAAGAAGAGTAGAATAGAATTCTATTTTATTCGGAAATAGGATAGAATTATCTCACAAAGATCCATTTATTAGATGGTTCCCTACTTACAATAGTTCAAGTTAAAGTTTTTTGACTTTACTGTTATATGAAAGCACTATGCATTCAGTAGAAACAGTACTTCAAGGACTCATACAGCCATGCTGGTTTTCACTTTCAGTACAGTAGTCAATAAATTACATGAGATATTCAACACTTTATAATAAAGTAGGCTTTATGTTACATGATGTTGACCAACTGTAGGCTAATGTATATGTTTTGATGATACTCACTAGGTTAAGTGTATTAATGCATTTTGATGTGTAATATTTTCAACTTGCTATAGTTTCATTGGAATGCAATCTCATCATAAGTTGAGAAGCATCTATATTGATAAATAAAATTAATGAAAACCTGTTATTTTTATCCATTATAATTCACTTAATGCATAATAAAAATACACCTTTATCCCATATTGCATAAAAATGGTAAACACAATGTAACACGTCTCAGGTTGCTTAAGCTAAAAGAAATGGCAAATAAAGGAATCTGAAAAATACTGTTTTCAGGTAGAGGCCATTTTGGGCAGTCAATAACATAAATTCTGGAGAGGATTAATAAATACTGACTGGTTTATTTTTAACTCTTATGTAGGAAATATAAGGATTGAGAACTATAGCTATGTTATGACCACTGTAAAGCTACATTTTTAAATAGACAAAGTCAAAGCTATAGATGATGTTTATGAAGCTAACTTTCTAAAAACTCTAAATACTAGGAATTACCACATAACCAAAATATGTGTACCAACCAACAGTGAGATGGTTAGCAATTCAGATTCCTATCTACCACTGCCACCCTCCCTACCCCAATCAAATTTACTTGCTCTGAATATGATTAGTAGACATGCATCTCTGATATATATTTTTTTTTAACAAAGGGGATCATTCTGTCACCTAGGCTGGAGTGCGGTGGTATGATCTTGGCTCACTGCAGCCTCAACCTCCTAGGCTCAAGCCATCCTCCTGCCTTAGCCCAAGTAGCTGGTACTACAGACATATGCCACTGTGCCTAGCTAATTTTTATATTTTTTGCAGAGATGGTCTTGCCATGTTGCTGAGGCTGTTCTCAAACTCCTGAGCTAAAGTGATCTGCCTGCCTCGGCCTCCCAAAGTGCTGGGATTACAGGCAGGTGCCACAGCATTCAGCCTCCCTGATGATGTTAATTCAAGCAGTCCCTCAACAACCTTTAAGAAACAGTATCCTTTCTGTGTTTGTGGCTCCTGAATTAATTAGAACCTGAGCCTCTCCTCCTCAGCCTAAATTTCCTGCTGTAGAATAAGGGTAATATTGTATATCCCTGTTCTTGAAATTAAATAGTGGAATCTGAAAGCACAAAACAAAATATCTGAGTGAAAGTATGTTGAATAAATGTCCATTTCTCTTATCTCCTCTTCCTAACTCTTGTTTGGATGTCACTCTATTATTCCATCATTTAATACTCTCATGAAAAAAAAGAGTGATTTATTTTAAAAACACGGCAGGAATTACAGGCGTGAGCCACCTCACCCAGCCCAACGCTGAGGCAGGCAGAGCACAAGATCAGGAGTTAAAGACCAGCCTGACCAATATGGTGAAACCCTGTCTCTACTAAAAATACAAAAATTAGCCAGGCATGATGGCACCTGCCTGTACTCCCAGCTACTCAGGAGCCTGAGGCAGGAGAATCGTTTGAACCTGGGAGGCGGAGATTGCAGCCAAGACTGCACCATTGCACTCCAACCTGGGCAACAGTGAGACTCTGTCCAAAAAAAAAAAAAAAAAAAACACAAACAAACAAACAAAAAAAACCCGCAGCAATGATCACATTTCAGGCTCTATTCTGTGTGCTTTATAAATATCAACATGGTAATCTGATATTAACCCTTTCATCACAAGTCTTATTGAAGAATCTAATTTTTTTTTTTTTTTTACCTTATCACAATGGTTTCCCAACTATGTTCCAGTTGGACAGTTACTGATCCACTAGTCAATTCCTTATTCCTCATTCTAGAATTTAAGGTACACCATGATTTCTTGCAGTCCAATGGAACACCCACTCCTCCCAATAGTCTGGCCTCCTTTCACACTTCTCCACTTCAGTTACATTCTTCTTGGGTCACCCTTTCCCCTTCTAATTCCAATCCTCTGATGTCATCATGAAGAAGCTAAAATTTTCCTTGCAGCTCCAGATCAAAGGAATAAGCTCAAAAACTCTGTCTTCTGCCTGTAATTCCAGTTAGAAAGAACATTTCCTCTGAATTTCACAGTATTTGCATACATACACTTAGTCCAAAAGAGCTCAGATTTATTCATACATTACCTTGGATGTTAAATAAAGCATAACTGTTCCAAGTGTGAGTTGAAGATTAGCAAACTGCTTAACTGGATTTGTGCTTGTGTGTATAGACAGGTGTTTTCATTCAGCCTTGTTTAGGCATAATTTACATACAATGAAATTTACCAATTTTAGTTGTACAGTTTGGATTTTAACAAGTGCACAGTCATAACCTCCACCATAATTAAGATGTAGAACATTTCCATCACCCCAAAAAGTTTCCTTGACTTTTTGCAGATAATTACCTGCTCCTAACCCTAATTATCATGAATAGGTTTTTGTCATGATAGTTTGGTCTTTTCCAAAATTCACATAATGGAATCACATACTATGTTATCTTTTGTTTCTAGCTTCTTTCCCTTAGCATAATGCTTCTGTGATTCATCCATGTTGTTCCATATTTCAGTCCATTCAGTTTTATTGCTAAGTTCATACATATTATTATATCAATAACATAATCACAAAACTGTTTCTAGTCTTTAGCTATTATTAATAAAGCTGCTATGAATACTTACATACTAGTCTTTGTGAATACATACTTTGTCTTAAGTAAACACCTAAGAGTCAGGACTGCTGGCTTGTATTAGAAGACTGTGTAAATATTATAAAACTGTAAACTCAGAGTTCCAGTTGCACTGCATTCTTGCTGAAATGTGGGATAGTCAGATTTTAGCCATTTGAGTGGTAATGTCATAACATCTCATTGTGGTTTTATTTTGTATTGTCATTCATATATCTTCTTTGATAGAACTGTCCATTCAAATACTTTCCTCATTTTTAAAAATCAGGTTATAAGAATTCTTTATATATTCTGGACACAGACTTTTATCAGATATAGGTTTTAAATTTTTTTCCCCAGTCTTGGACTTGCCTTTTTTGTTCTCTTAAATGTGAATTTATTCAGCCAGACAACTATGGATCTTTGTTATGTCTTCCGTTTTTACCACATTTTGCTAATGTCATTAAGGATTTTGAGATGGGGAGATTATCCTGGATTATCCCAATGGGCCTAATGTAATCACAAGGGTCCTTATGAGAAGGAGACAGTAGTGTCATAATCAGAAGATGTTATACTACTGGGTTTAAAAATGGAGGTAGAGGCCAAAAGCCAAGGAACACAGCAGTCTCCAGAAGCTAGAAAAGACAAGGAAACAGACTCACCCCTATGAACTCCAGAAGGAATGTAGCCCTGCCAACACCTTGATTTAGCCCAGGGAAACCCATTTTGGACTTCTGATCTCTAACATAAGACAACTGCTGTTGTTTTAAGTCTCTAAATATGTGGTAATTTGTTATAGTAGCAATAGGAAACTAATACAAGTTTTATAATTTTAATTTTAAAATACGCAAAGGTCTCACTCCTCTGTTAAAAGTTCTTCTAGACTAGGAACTGTATTTTTATTCATTCATATTACAAAACTCTGTGCTTTACACACAGTATACATATAAATGTTTACAGAATTTGAACCATCCTATCTATATATCAGATAGTTCCCCAAACCATTTCTTTTTTTTTTCTTTTTATTTATTTTTTAATTGCATTTTAGGTTTTGGGGTACATGGGAAGAACATACAAGACTGTTGCATAGGTACACACATGGCAGTGTGATGTGCTGCCTTCCTCCCCATCACCTATATCTGGCATTTCTCCCCATGCTATCTCTCCCCAACTCCCCACCCTGCGCTGTCCCTCCCCTATGTCCCTCCTACAGACCCCAGTGTGTGATGCTCCCCTCCCTGTGTCCATGTGTTCTCATTGTTCAACACCCACCTATGAGTGAGAACATGCGGTGTTTGATTTTCTGTTCTTGTGTCAGTTTGCGGAGAATGATGGTTTCCAGGTTCATCCATGTCCCTACAAAAAGACACGAACTCATCGTTTTTGATGGCTGCATAATATTCCATGGTGTATATGTGCCACATTTTCCCTGTCCAGTCTATCATTGATGGGCATTTGGGTTGGTTCCAGGTCCTTACTATTGTAAACAGTGCTGCAATGAACATTCGTGTGCATGTGTCCTTATAGTACAATGATTTATAATCCTTTGGATATATACCCAGTAATGGGATTGCTAGGTCAAATGGAATTTCTATTTCTAGGTCCTTGAGGAATCGCCACACTGTCTTCCACAATGGTTGAACTAGTTTACATTCCCACCAACAGTGTAAAAGTATTCCTATTTCTCCACATCCTCTCCAGCATCTGTCTCCAGATTTTTTAGATCGCCATTCTAACTGGAATGAGGTGGTATCTCAATGTAGTTTTGATTTGTATTTCTCTAATGACCAGTGATGATGAGCATTTTTTCATATGTTTGTTGGCCTCATGTATGTCTTCTTTTGTAAAGCATCTGTTCATGTCCTTTGCCTACTTTTGAATGGGCTTGTTTTTTTCCTGTAAATCTGTTTTAGTTCTTTGTAGATTCTGGATATCAGCCCTTTGTCAGATGGGTAGACTGCAAAAATTTTTTCCCATTCTGTTAGTTGCTGATTCATTCTA